AGATTACATTACAGTCATTTAGCTGATGCTTTTATCCGAAGCGACTTACCGTTGATTAGGCTAACCATGGGTCAATCCCCCCTGGGAGCAATGTGGGGCTAAGGCCTAGTGGTAATCGTATTCTTGCTGTGGCTGGACTGGGGCTTAAACCACCAACCTCAAGGGTCCCACTCATGTACTTTATCCACTAGACCACAGGCTTTCCAAGACGCTAAGTACACTGTAATCAGGTGGGGAAAAGCTTACCATTAGCATCCCGAAGCTAGACATTGGTTTTTTTTTTTTTTAAACTCTAACAGAAGTAGAGTCATTAAAAAGTCTTGACTGTAAATATCAAAGTAGTTGCACTCCTAACAAATTCAAAATTCAGTTCAATTCATGCAAGTCTCCAAGATGGATTCATTGACATTAAGTTGGACGCACTCCAACACTACTCCACAAGGTCTCAGTTTCACTTTTATTCACATGTTGACTTTATCATCGACTAAACAAGATTTCGAAAATCTCTCCACATTCCTTCGTTGTTTTTTAAGAGCTATAGAGATTTTAAGAGAGCTCTCGAAAAAGGCAGAGCTGAAAGAAACATCAAACAATTTCTGGTGTCTTATCCTGGTGTTTTAAAGTAAAATTAGAAACATCAAATAAAAGCCCTTTGCAGATTATCTGGGAGTGTGTCGGACTTTCATCCTGAATTAACAGAGCCGTGGAAACCTGGTCCACTTCATTGGATGAAACAGCTGCCTCAAAAAACATCCGCCAGACATACCGCACCAGGTGGGGGTGGTAGATTGACATACCACAAGGCCAGGCCATTTAAACCAGCCACACGCAGTGCTCTTAGTCGTCTGCCTGCATAGACTCTTTAACCTTTAATCTTTAAGATGGTTGAGCCTCGGCATGAAGGACACACGGAGTCAGTGACTACACAGCAGATTTTTAACACGGTTCCTCATTAAGTCATTGCTCGGTTTTGAGCAGCAAATGGTGACCGCACTGCCTGAACCATTCGCTGGTTCAATTTGGAAAGCATTTGCATACAGTGTAGGAAATGTGGACGAAACATGACCAAAGCCATTTTTCCTGTGTACCTTGGGATTGTGAGTTAAAAGCATGAAAACCTACTTTGCTCTCTTCTGAAGTGTTTGCTTTCTTCCACCTGAGGGGACCCAGCTAAGGACTGGCTGAGACCCTGTGAGGCCAGCATGCCCGGGTATATCTCGTGCAGGTGGCGGAATGGCTGTTCATGTCAGAGAACGAGGAGTTGGCGCTTTCCACATATCGGTGGGCTAGATGCGTTTCGGCTAAGGCCGGCAATGTTCTAAGAGAAAATAAGCCACAGGGAATAAGTCTGTTTGGAAATACCAGGCGTTTACTCATTAGCCCAGTAACACCCTGTGCACGCTACTGAATAACCTCCCCGGGGCTCTGCTCTCCAATAAAACCTGATGGGGAATGAGTATAAGCTGTGTGATAAGGATTTATGAAGATAGATACATCTTAAAAAGTGTGTATCTGCAGTAGGTAATCCTGTCATGATGAAAGATAGTGCAGACTTCATTTCCCGTACAATCAATTTCTTTATGCTAAATGATGTTGTTAAAGGTTAACAGCGGTGCAGAGGACTATGTGGAAAAAGGATATACAATGCGAAATAAGTTGACAGTTGAATACCGTTTCCAATACCGGGCAAAATATCAGTGAAGCTTAGGAGAGAGGGGTACAATTTGAAGTTTATTTCATCTGAGTCTGCTTGGGTTATGTGGGATGGGTTTGTCCCAGGATGACTTAAGAGATTTGAGGGAGGGAAAAGGAAGCTCCCACGTGCATTATGGGAATTTCTGGTTATGTATCCCCTATGGGACAATGCCCTATAGGATAACGGAAAATAGCCTGGGATCTTCTATACCTAGACCACCAACATTGTGCCTGTTGGGCAGTAAGTATAAATTAAAAAGGATTAACCTGACAGGATTTGGGCATCGTATCAAAGTTTATACTGGCTGCTGACGATAGGAAAGGCACGAGAGAACCCGCGTTCAGGGGATGGATTGACAGCTTGGTAAAAACAATACGGTATGAAATTACATTAAGTAACAGGTTGGACATAAACCGAACGCGATTCAAAAAATATATAGAATATAAAGCCAATAAAAACAAGGCGAATATTCCCTTTATCGTGTGAGTGCGTGGGAGAGAGATTGCGAGTACAAGTGAGTGTGTATTTGTTATAATTATGAGTGACTGAGCTCTTCTTTTCGCTGTATGTTGTGTGCCAAGTATTGTTGTAACATGGTCGTTTCTTTCAAATATGTAATCAAAACAAATATTTTTAACAAATCTCCCTAATAACAAAGAAGCAAAATTAAAAGCATTAAATTTGCCACGTGCTCACACCTTCAGGCAGATTATGGCCACAAATAGCCACACAAAATAGTAAAACAGGCCTGCCCCACCACCATTAATCATTGAAGCCAGGGAGGTGGCGTTCGTCCTAAAATAAGTGCAATCGATCCTGCTCACTCTCAGTGCAATTCCTAGTCCTGGATGCCACCTGGTGGCCATAAAGGTAATACTTTGAATGCAGTAAATGGTGAATGGCGGCAAGATCGTCCTTGTCATGAAAGACTGAGATACTGTCTGAGGTAGCGTTTGTGTGGTCTCGCTGCACGAGGGAGACAGGCTACATTCCCAACATGGCAAACCTTTTTGTGTGTTTCACGGGTTTTCTTTTCTCTGTCTGGCCCTGTGATTGACAAGAGACCTGTGCGCAGAGGACAGACGCCTTGCCTGAATAGCAAAGAGTGTGCCTGGGTGTGATGGAATAGTACTGGTCAGCAGGTAAGGTGGTCTGATGTAGCTAGTAGCGTACAGAGGACTTCCTGAGAAATTGCTGTACACCGAACTCTTGAGTAAATATGGCTTGGTACCACGGCCGAGGCGGGACTACTGTGTGTGTTTTTTATTATCACCCGGTTATAAAGTACAATCGCATATATCATACTCCCTTTTCCCCAATTAGTCCGGTTTAACAAGGGTTCAGTGTATTTTTGTTTACAGTATATGAACAATATTATTTTCACAGATATCAGCTGATGTCTACGTACCAGAAAGACTGTTTTTAATACTGACCTAACACTAACAGGCAAGTCAGTGGTTAGGAGACTGGGCACCAAGTTGTTGTTAACGTCGCGGTTACTAAAACTACCTCTAAATGTGGCTTCCATGGATCAAAATGCACAAAACAGTCATGTCCGGGTCCATGCTAAAACATCACCCCTGCAGTGTAAAATCATTTGTCCAGGTGGTGGCACTACAGCAGCTGCGCGCAGTTATGAAAATCAAAACCACATTCAAAACCAGCGGAAAATTCTACAGTGTCTGCCATTATCAGAGCACTGGTAAACACAGCAGAATATTACTTCTTCCAAGACTGTAATCAATGTCCATATTGTATACAAACATCTTACTGTATGCTGTACTATACACTGTAATGAACTTCGTAATATCTCAGCTGATTAATGATTAATCCTTGTAGACTAAATTACAATGTTATGGATAGTATTTTGGATTTTTTTCTTCAGATTTCTACCACAAGAACTGAATTTTTAAAAATTATATGCCGTTTACGGACAACATTCATTAATTTTTCGGCCAATCACGAGGTTGCAGGTTTGATTTCCGCCATTAACAACATCTGCAAGGACGTCAGCTTCCCTCTGCAATGCTAGAGATTTCATATTCCACTGTCCTGGCCACGAGCCATACCCCCATAAACTCTGCATGCAGCTATATATACAGTCCCTACTACAGTTATTGGCACAATCACGGAAGATAAGATAACAGGCTGCTCAGGGTTAATAAAAAAACAGTGGTATATTCATGTCGTATATTCTGTGCTCTAAGAATTTGGAAAATCATATGTGCCCATTTATGGCAATTTGTTCTGAAAAAGGTTACTTTTCCATGAGTTATTTTTTTATTCATAAAAGATGAGTATCGAGTATTTGGACAGGCCTGGTTTACTGAATCAGTACTTATGTAATGCATTTTTTCATTAAACGGCCGATTTTCTTTTTTTATTTGAATATCAACATTATTGGCACTTAAGGTCTGATTCGCTACAGTATTTGCTAAAGACAAAAAGAACATGTGATTGGCTGAGGTACTTCACTGGCTCCTGTCACAGATCATAAAACAGAAACTGCACATGCAGATGTGCTAAAGGTTTTGATAAATATGACCCTTAATATGAAGTTCATTATTTTTTGGTAAAATTCCACTTGTGTGCAATGAGGCTACAATAAGAATCAACCGTCTAGATCATCAAACTTACTTTTAAGTGAAAGATACACCATCTTTGTTTGACCATCTTGATTTTCCTACTCTACTAATCCAGAAAAATGTCAATTTATACGGAGCATTTTAAAGCCCACTGCTGTAAATTACATTAAAGACAGGAACAACTACCATTTTTGAAGTGTTACTAAAGCTTCTTGAGTATTGAAAGAAAAACTAATTTATATTTTAGCTTTTAGCAATCTGCAAGCACAGCTCTCAAGGGAAAGAGGATCAAATATCAAGCGCTCTGCATTTAGCTGCCATAGGATTTCCAAACCAATAAAACGCCATGTCCATGATACCTAGTATAAAATATTAAACCAAAGGCCAAACTGGGTCTGGCCTCAAGTCTTACTTTGTGCAAAGAATATCCACTTCGGTATTTCAATGACTGACCACAAGACTAGACACGTACAAAGCATACAGTTGCTGAAATGCACTGCGTCTGCTGTTAATGAAGAAGACATTCCCCCATATACAATGATCAACGAAATTTTAATATAATCGTCAAAACTATGTGAAATACTCTGGGCCTCTCTGTACAGGTCATTTCTTTAAAGATATTTTCTTTTTTTGGGATTTTTCTACTTTATTTGACAGTTACAGTAGAGAAGTAGACAGGAAATGCAGGAGAGAGAGAGGGGAGAGGACATGCAGCAAAGGGCCCAAGCCGGATTTGAACCTGGGCTGCTGTGGCAAGGCCGAGGCCTTGCGTGGTGTGGCATGCGCTCTACCAGCTGAGCCACCGGGGCACGCCCAACAGGTCGTTTCTTATAGGTTTGCTGATGACCAATCTCCTTCCGGGATCTCCCTCAAAATGTTGCTCCGCTCAAATCACACTTAATGCAAGCGTTCCCAGATAAAGTACAATATGAGCTGAAACGCAAAAGCTTTTCAAAAGGCAGTGAGAATTTGCAGCAGAGAACTGATTCAAATAGGCCAACATGCACTTAGAATTTTTTAAAAAATGGACCGTCAAGCTGTAATAATTTCCCCAAGTTAATAAAGCTACTCTTCGCATATTTAGTGAAGTGAAAGACTTCAGGAATCGTGTGGTTATTGAAGACTGTTGCTTACATGGAGAACTTGAATCTTCTGCTTTTCTCAAAGCTACCAGTCCCTTCGACCCATCTCACCTTATGAGCCCTGCCCTCGTAAACCTCTGTTCAAACAAAGTCTCTGTGAAACATTTCTGGAGACGGTTTATTATCACAATTGCTTTGAAAATATAGGCAGGTTTACTATGCCCATTGTAAAGCGCAACGCACTGCAGACTGTGAATGAATGGTAGCCGTTACATCAGTGGCCGAAGTACTTATGGTTAGTCATAACACTTGTCGTTATACTGCCACTGAATTTGCTGCTGTAATGAAAACAAAACAAACTGGGAAGTCTAGCACACTGAACGCTGACAATGTTGCTGACAACATGAAAACGGGCAGTGAGCTTCATGGAGAGAGCGTAATTTATCTTGTGAAGGAGAAGTGACCGAACGACAGATAAGATACCTCAGAATTTGAGCACAAGAAAGGCCATGGACGCAGACATAAACTACTAAACACATAACACATGAAACCTTGAGGGCCCGACACAAATTATTAGGCTAGAACGCACGCTCCTGATTTGGTATTCCGTGTTCTTATGTTCAGCAAACTTGGGCTGAGTTGAGAAAGTTATGACATTGTATATTTGTGTTTGATAACCAAAAGCAAATGACATATTTGACGTTTCAAACTGTTTTGGCAGCCATTGTTTATTCGTCATTGTTTTTGATCCAACTTGTTCACTTTTCATGACTCCGGTCCTCCTCCTAATAGTCTTAATATACAAACTAACTCCGATCACCATTGCATCAAAATCATCATTGTCGCCGTTATTCTCATATCATACGCATACAGCACTTTTTTAATCCCAGCTGGGCAGGGTGGGGAAATAGTTACACAGGGGAGACGATTAGACAGCATGTCAGGAAGTACTAGGCCACACAGGGGACCCTCTACCCATTTTCATAAACAGTACGAGAACCACAATGAGCACACTGAGTCAACACTTCGGTTTAACGTCTCGACCAACGGACAGGCCGACGTGACCAACGGACAACTTGCTTGGACGAACCCCAGAAAACAAAGCTACGGCAATCAGGATAAAATTCATTACATAGGCCGTTCTTTGAGTAGACGTCTTTACTCAACGAAATCTTATACGCTTTCCATATTAGCGATTTGTCCGTCCTGATGCGATACTGGTGCATTGTCGCAAACTGCTCAGTTATGCAGCAGATGTAAAGGGTATAGCAGCTGTGGATGTGAAACTGTACTGAAGCACGGTAGCGAAACCCAAACCACTGCTTTATACTGCCAGTAGTAACAAAGGAAGTGGCAAGAGACACGTCTTCGCCTTTCACAAAGGACAGACGAACACATGCCATCGTTAGCAGACGGTTGTTACATCACTGTCGCTGCAATTATATCTCTGCGTCAAAGATCTCCAGTGAGCCTTTTCAAAATCAGTGTCCTTCTCAGAGTTAATCTGTGTTGCCACATACAGGAGCGTTCGTCATAAGTCTGACCACGTTACTCGAAAGAAAATCACTGTAGGCGAATGTGTATGAACTCGTAGACATGGAGGCGTGTCTTTGTCTAATTTTGATGGCCTTTTTTCATCAACAGAATTGCAGTTTGATGCATGTTTTTTTTTTTTTTTTTGCCATGGCACAATTAGAATGGTTGAGGGTGTGTAGTATATTTGGATATGACGGCTGGATGAGATGGAAATAAGGAGTGGATAAAAGTTTTGAAGAGGATAACCTACTTGTCTCTGTACTCTCAAATTGAATGAATGAATGAATGAAGTTGCTGCAATGAGATTGGCTTAAGAACACAACTGGGCATACCAAACTAAAAAAATGAGAATGTATTTAAAAATATCAAATTTTATAATAAACATGAAGTTCTCCTTCGTTGTTGACTGTCTGCAACCTGTGTACAGCCCTCCCTGGGTCCCCTTTGCCCTCTAGATGTGTACGTCTAGGTCTGGCTATCAGGGGAAAAGTTTAATAAATGTGATTGAGTGGAAAAACAAACTGAGAAGAAACAAAAATCAAAGGTCAGACTGCCTACACAATCAAACATGTAGGAAATAATGTGGACCTACGATGGTTATATTAATTTCCTTTTGCCCACGCCAGCCCAGTCTTCCTCCATGTTTGTTTTGTCTACCCATTAAATGAACCTTTCCATTTCCTTTGTTGTGATTTATGATGGTAGACAAAGCATAAAACACAACACAATCTCATGCAGTCTAGTCTGGCAAAGTCTTAGTGGAGTTTAAAACAAGATATTCACCTCTGTCAATGGTATCGGACATTGTAACAGATTTTGCCATGCAGATTCCTCTTAATGATTCATATTTAAAAACAGCTCTCAGCTCAACAAAAATATTTAAATTAATGCAATATGGCTGTTCTGCTGAATCAAAGACGTTTCATTACTGCCATAACCACAAATTATTTAGGCACAGGACTCCGTCCAACGCAGTTATGTGCAACCAAAAATCCAAACTTCTGGAATTCTGACAATTAAATAAAAATCCTCCACTTTAAAGTTCCTGTAAATAATCTTGGTAAAACCTTGTCTTCTTCTTTCAGGTGATTTTGCATATTTTTTTAAAATAAGTTCCAGGGTCTTGTGTAATCACCTTGCAAAGGTATACCCAAAACAAAAAGAGTGTGCATTTGCAAGAGACAGTGATGTGTTACACATGCCTGATATATAAGCCTGTCACACTACCAATATCATGTGACATAAGTATTTTGTAAGGCACTCCAGCTTGGCTGGCAGTTGCTAACCTCTTTCTAGCTCCACAAACATTCAAGTTATGCGCTCCGAACAGCCAGCCCTTGTCAGTTCTTGCATGGAAAAGGGCTAACGCAGTGGTCTTCATGCTATGTCCTGGAGAGCTGCAGTGCATTCTGGTCTATATTTCCTCCTGAAATTTCACAGGAAACTCACAACTAAGAAATCAGGCAAAGTGAGTTAGCTATGTAATCAACTGAGTTAACTGGTCATTAAGTGTTGAGTAACAACGAAAATGAGCGCAACACACAGATCTCCATGATCAGAAGTAAGGACCACTGGGCAATGTTTGTTGACGCTGAAATGTTCTGCACATCTTAAAATGATGAATTAAGGATTTTTTGCAAAGCGCCTTATTTTTTTTCCCCATCCTATCTTATGGTGTTGCTTATTTTGTTGAAAAGGAGACATGAGACACTGTGAGGCAAGTCATGACATTAGATGAAAGATGCTTGAACATTTTCAGAAGTGCAGAAATCCTAACCTACCCAGCAACCTCTCCTTCAAAATATTTTCACCAACTTTTAATTGGCCAGTCCTGCTTCCTGGATGACACGGTCCCTGCCCAATCAGCATACAGACCCAGGTGACACTAAACTTTGCATCAAGACACCGCATGCCAGTTACCCAGACTTCTTGCCAAAGGAAGAATGTCACACGCTTTTATCACATCAGGGGTGTCAAACTCCAGTCCTGGAGGGCCGCAGTGTTTGCGGGGTTTTGTTCTTTCCTTTCGACTGGCAGCCATTTTAGGCCTTGGAAACCAGGTGTATGGACTCTTTAGCCAACCAGTGATTTTAATTAATCAATTAAGTCCTGAAACGCACCAAAAACCGGCTACCACTGTAACCCCCAGGACTGGAGTTTGACACCCCTGGTCCACATCATTAAGAGTGCTCCTATCTGAGTGAACCTTGTAAGTCCCTGCTTACTTTGTATTGCAACTTTTACTGAGAGTTTTCTTGTATATTAAGAGATTCTGTGTTCCAACTGAATGAGTGTTCCAACTCTTCTTCGAAGTATGGGTTCTCATTATCGCTTTGTTGTTTGTTTTCTTCAGTTGTAGCTGCAGGTACGCAGTCATTTTTCATATGCAGTTCCTGGAATCCCGATGTGGCAAACGTAATTTAACATTCATTTATGTTATTAATGGAATGTTCACAGCACTCACAAGCCATTCAAAGTCAATGGTGACTGTACAACAATTACCATGGTTGACTGCAGTTTGGAGTCGGGCGTTGTTTACTCTCAACATGGTAGATCCAGAAAAACCCGCCAGTTTGCATGTTCCAATCTTTGTCCTTGTTTATGACCTACCTCGATCTGAAGCTCAAGACAAAGCCCTGGAATTCAATCAATCGAACCTTCGATGACAAATCGATCATGAAAATTGACCTGCCCAGCTGCTCTTGCAGATGAAAGAGCACAACTCTCTTGTTGAACTCGAAGTAAAAATTGAGGACAAATGCTGACTAAATCCCATCCATAAGCTCCCCCCAAATTATATTGCATTTCTTAATGACAGTCAGTGTACTACGGTCACTCCCTCCACAGTCATGCGGTATGATGGCTGTCTTGATGTAATGTAAGCAGTAGTTCCACTTTATGTTTCAGCAGAAAACCTGTTCTGACAGTATTAATGTGGTGTTCAAACTGTCACTGTTCGCTACAACCTAAATAAATTCTCGTAGGCATACAGGAGATACTGAATACTGGAGACATAAGGCTCCAATGCTAAAACATACTAAAACAGAAACATGTGCTTTCTTACAGGTATAGATGTTCTCCTGTCAGTTCTCAGAGATGAAATAAATTGATCCAGACCACAAATCATAAAGATATGTCTATTAGTCATGGGGAATAAATATACCTGTGCATTGGGAATGAGGAGAAATGTA